AAGCCTCTACATTAAGATATTATGATGAAGGCCCTGGAGGAGGAGCAGCAGCAAATTGCCTTTTTCATGGGTGCCAAATGTAATTTGACCTTTAGATGGGTGTTCCTTTTTTGAGGGAAGGAAAAATCTATGAATGCTGAAATTTGAGAACCAATCTGTGTGGACTCTGTTGACTCCAGGTCCTTCCCATATCTAATTTCTTGTGATTTTTAAGCAAACTCTTATTGGGCCACTTGGAATAAATCTCTAGGAAGAGGATATGTCTATTATCACCCTACCCTAGATCTTTTAGTGTATCCTGGCACTAGGAAGGGATTGGGAAGCTTGACCAAACATTGACATCCCTAAGGATTGAATGCTAGTGATGCTGCCAAGGTCTGAGCAGAAAGGGTTTGAAATATGCATTTTAACAACTAACAATGCTCTGTTGTATTGCAAGTCGAGCTCCCTTGCCCTTAAATTTGTACACTGCAAAACCAGGCTGGATTATGAGCATATATGCCAATATCGTGCCTACGTGGTCTGCACCCTAAGTTGGTGTCCACTAACAGGAAACATTCAAGATGTTGATTACTTCAACTCCTAAACCTTATAGTTGGCTGAAATTTGCTTGAAATCTTCAAAATGAGAAATGCAACTCAGTTGCTTAAGGATTGCATGTACTGGCTGTATTTTGCTGAGGGCAGATGGATCTGTGTTGTAATTTGCTCCATCTACTACTGGGAGGTTTTGCCGGAAGTTATGGGAAGATTCTCATTTTCCTTGGTCTGCTTGGTTTGTGTGTGCATCAGAGGGCAGCATGTGGGTAACATGGCACTGTCAGCATGGGAATTTGGGGCAGAACTCTGGGATGCTTCTCAGCAGAATCAGGAGGAGGGTCCCTTAAAACAGTAGGGTTGGTGTTCCAAATTTTGAAGTAAGCAAATATCTTGCTGCTCCCTCCCTCTTCCCTACCCTCCATAAGACCACCGGGTTAATGGAGTGTAACTTAGGGTTGCCATATTTCAAAAGGTGAAAATCCAGACACAAAAGTTGCTGAACCTTTTTGAGCAAAGTTATTGAGCTTTTTTTTTCTTTTTTGCAAAATCTCAAAAAAATGAGCTTTTTTTTTTTTTTTTAAAGGAAATTGGCCAAAATCTACATGCGTTGCCATACATCCGGGTTTTTCCAGACATCGTGGCAATTTCTGCCCAGGCACAGTTTTAGACTGCCGAATCCTGGCTATTTCCGGGAAATAGTGAATCTGTCAATTTCAGTTTCTTTTAGTCACTCATTTTTCCCCCAATCTTGAGTTCAGATCTCCACATTTCCACATCAGTTTGCACTTTAAAAAAATCCTCATGGAAATTCATCAGCATTCTCCACATTTTTCTCAGTATACACATTTTTGCAAGCAAATTTTGCAAAATATAATGCATTTGTGTTTGTTACTTTCATTAATTTATGTATTTTATACATACTTTACCATATTCTGTGTATTTGTGTACATACTACTTGGCCGGCAAACTGGATTGCAAAATTCGGAGAAGTGCAAATTTCAAAGGATGGCTCTTGTCAATTCACATAGATTTCACCTAGAGTTCAGGAAGTTCAACTTAAAGTTCACCTTTAAATGTGAACTGAATCTAATTTATCCCCATCCCAAGGTGTGAAACAGCCTCTTGAATCAGTGTTGACTTGAGGGGTCAGCCTCGGCAGCGCCACAACAAAATTCCCAAGAGGTGTATGGACAAAAGATTGCAAGCCAATTTACAAGACTTACGGGGGGGGGGCAGCAATATGCCCCCTCGCCAAGCATGCAATGCTCACAATTGTCAACTGAGTTACAATTCATGCTGAGGGGAATTTGCACTTCTTTCCCAATTGCCTCTCATGTTGCAAATTCTTTAGCTTGACAAAATTGTGGCCCTAACTGAACACCTGAATCTTAAGAACACAGAAAGTGCCATGCTGGATCGGACTACTGGCCCATGTAGTTTCACAGTAAACAACCAAATGCCGGCAGGGAGCACAAAAGCAATAGCACTCTCTCCCCTATGGTTCCCAACAGCTGATATTCAAAGACATGCTGGCTCCAACAGTGGAGGTAGAACATAACCATTACATCTAGCAGCCACTGAGAGCTTTATCCTCCATGAATTTGTCTAATCCTCTTTTAAAGCCCTCCAAGTTGGTGGCCTTCACTGTCTCTTGCAGGAGCTAATCCCATAGTTTAATTATGTGCTGTATGAAGGAGTACTTTCTTTTGTCTATCCTGAATCTCTCAACATAATTGAGACGGGAGACTGAAATGGGAGCACAAGGGCTGTATGGAAGCTCTTTGCAAAAGTGCTCTTTGAAGCAGCTCTGCATTTTTGCTTAAGTGGGAGGTGGCAGTACGGGCTTCATGACTTGATCGCGGATGGAGGAATTGACCTGACATGCGTAACAGAGACCTGGTTGGACATGGCAGATGGGCCTGTTCTTGCTGCTGCTGCTTGTCCAACAGGTTTCTCTTCCACACAGCAACCCAGGTTCTGTGGGCAGGGGGGCGGGTTGCAGTGATTTTTAGAAAGTCATTAGTTTCCACCAGGTTGTCCTATTAGCATGTTCTGGAAGATGAGCAATAGGAGCAGTACAGGACTCCTATTGGTGTAGTGACCTCTCTGCTGCACCAAGGATTCCCTGCCTGAGCTGCTTCAAGTCGTGTTGAATGTTCTCCTGGATGCTATAGTTCTATGACCTGCCTCAATCTTGGCTGATCTGAGCAGCAACATCTACAGGATCTCAGGTAGACCCTGTCCTCATGCATGTAATTTCTGCATGCACACCTATCCCATATATAAATCCCTCAGTCAAAGGAAACTAAGTGGAAGCAAAATTGGGACACTGGGAGACAGGAGTGTGTTATCATCCTGCTCTAGGGCACCAGGAGTTTGCAGAAGTACCCAACAGTCTAATGATGACTGAGCATGCTCAGTAGCCATGGAATGTCAAGTGCCAGTTGAAAACTAGACAGCTGGAAGAAGGTGGGAGAGGGTGGAATGCCCTGCTTGGTGCAACCCTGACCCCTAAAGAAGGAGCACCCCTGCAACAATCATCTGCTGGAGCATCTCTGGTCATTCCTCGAGTTAATGAGGCTTGTTTAACATCAACAAGGAATCAACCCTTTTACTGTCACCAGTACAGTAAGGTGGAATGCTTTGCCAATAGAGATTCAGCAGGCACTTTCTGTTCCAACTCTTAAACTCCGACGAAAACTTTTCCATTCCATCAGGTGTATGCAGGCAGTTCAGGATATGTCTTTCCACAATAGTTAGCTGATTTCTGATTTTAACTCATTTTATATGGTTTTCATTGTATCTGTTTTATTTAAAGTTGTGCTATTTTCTTTATGAAATAGTGCTATATATTAATGTTTTGAATGAATGAATAATCAAACAATGTGTCACAGGTTCCAGCTGTTAAATTATAATTTCAAGCCCTATACTGTTTACATCAATCACCTTGCATGTTAATAATGCCATGCTGATGGCCCCCCAACCCTGACTGTCCTGTCAAATGATCAGGATTCTTGCTTTCATTTGCTGTTTTGCTTTCGCACACACCAAAAAAACTCTGAGCCTCTGCACTAGATTACAGCTATGAGGAATCTATTGAGGCTGGCGTGGGTTGCCTCTGGATTTCTTTTCTCCCCACCATCCCAAATGGAATCGTAATATTGAGTCCTCTGTCTAGCTGTCAGGACAATGATGTGAGGAAATCAAGCCTTGTTATTTCCTCCATCTGGAAGCCAACCGATTCTCCAGTGGGCTGCTCCCCCCCAATCTACCGGTTCTTCCTGTCTGTTCTCCATATGCCTCTGCTACCTTGTACACTCTTTCTAAAGCAGTCGATGAAGCCAGCAGACCAGCTGCCAGAGTCTCTCCTCTTCATAGTTTCCTGAGCAGGATAAAAAGAGATGGGGGTGGGAGTAGATTGAAAGGGCTTGCAATGAGGTACCGTTGCATGCATAATTCTTTCAGTGTGTGTGTGTGTGTGTGTGTGCGCGCGCGCATGTATATATATATATATATATATATATAACCATCCATCCATCCAAGGGTCTTAGAAATCATTGTTCTCTGTTAGTTGAGCTGGAGCCAGAGCTGCAATGCTAAAGTCAGTTGTGCCTTTGAGCAGCGTATAACAGCGCCCTTTGGAGACCCATTTCATACAAAATTTGAAGCCTGTGTTTATTGCCCATTAAAGCAACCTTTATTTTATGGCAAATGTTGCAGTAATTGCCTTTTACGAAGAGCACTTTGTAACACACATGCACCGTTGAAAGAAAACCACTCTGGTATTGTCTATCGGGACTTAATGGCGCAATTAATTTTACTCCATCTGTTCCTGAGACTTTAAAGGAAAATGGATTTTTTTTTTCCTGAGCACACTTTAATGAAGAAGATAAAGCGGCCCTGCTGGTGTCCCACTGGCTCAGTGCAGTAAGTTCAGATTATTGCTCAGTCTGTCAGAATAGGCTGCGTCCCTCGGCAGCCGCCACAGTGAGCAGCCCTCCCTGGCCCCTTGCCGCGCCATTCCTGATGACATACTGCCAGCCGGCTTCCACAAAAGCACGATTAAAATGTCAGCATAGGATGACGAAGGGGCCAGGAAGGTCCTTGGAGACAAACTGTGTTCAGTATGAGTTAATACTTCACTGCGGCGTTGGGGCTGGGCCACTCCTGCTGCTTTGCAGGCACAGAAAGTAGGGACAAATAAGCTTGTTTTTAAAAAAGGATATGGGGAGCTGGGGGCACGGAGGCTCGTTGGTGTAAAAGCTGTGTACGGCTTGGCTGATCCACAAGGGCTTTCCAGGTCTCCCGACAGCAATGCAGTCTCCGTCATGGGAAATGATGGGCTGTCGTTAGGAGACCCTTGTTCCCCTCTCAGAGCTACGTTTTCTCAAAGTCCCCTGGGGAGACAGGTTGCTTGTTAAGCCACAATAGGAAATAAGAGCTCTGTGAGGTGGACTGGGGGCCTGGATAGCTCAGCTGGTTAGAGTGTGGCACTGATAACACTAAGGTTGCAGGTTCAATCCTCGTATGGGACAACTGCATATTCCTGCATTGCAGGGGCTTGGACTAGATGATCCTCAGGGTCCCTTCCAACTCCACAGTTCTATGATTCTGTGGTTCTTAGCACCTCCTGGCTCCTTTAACAGACTATCCCCAGAATTCTCTGGGAGAAGCCATGGCAATTTAAAGTTGTATCATAGTAATGTTGTTGTTTAGTTGTTTAGTTGTGTCCAATTCTTCATGACCCCATGGACCAGAGCACGCCAGGCACTCCTGTCTTCCACTGCCTCTCACAGCTTGGTCAAACTCATGCTGGTAGCAAAATACGTTTTATTTGTCCATTATTTTCAATGGTTCTACTCTCAGTAAGACTTGAATTGGATGATATCCAATGAATATAGAAATAATAAACATTTATATTTGCATATATACCTGTGCATAGGCAAGGATGCAACTTAAAACTAGCAATCTAACTAAAACACATCTTGCAATAAACCTATTTGCATATGAAATGCTTTTAAATGAAAATGCCTTATGATTTCTTATGTAGCATATGTGAAAGCTATATTACCATTACTTCTGCATAGATTTATGAAGAATGATGTGTCACCATTAAGTATATCTTTTCATATCAGAAAGCTAATGTCTTTTTAAGACTCTATTTCCCCTGTTGCCTTTATTTTAAAACCAGTTACATAACATTTTAAAATTAGTACAGCTTTGTCATACAATATGAGGCCCTAAGATATTATATTTGTATACCACACTTCATCCAAAGATCTCTGGGTGGTTCACATCATACTTGTTGCATGCAGCACTGCTTCTATTCTGCTGCAGTTCATCTTCTACCAAAAATGATGTTATTCATCTTGCTGTGCTTCCTTACGTAAGCTACATTATGAATTACATAAATTGCACTGCCATTTTGCTATTCCACCCCATTTATTTCAATGCAAAAGAAGCACATTGCAAAATGAGGGAGGGAAGTAATCAATTATGTATCTTTTGCAGCCTGAATGCAACAGCAATATACAGCATTTATTGTATTAGCTGGATTGATTTCATTCTGGACACGGAATGGATAAGCAACACCCGCCATTTCTGCTCCCATTTCTGTTTTTGTCAGAATTTTGTAGCAACCCTGATTCCAGGCACTGAATATTATTTCCCCTTTCAAAACTTTCACACAAAATCATCTTGTCATGGGAGGTGTGGGGATATAGCTACTGGCTGCTACCAATGGAAAACCAGTGTGGTGTAGTGGTTAGTGTGTTGGACTGGGACCTGGGAGACCAGTGTTCAAATCACTACTCAGCCATGAAGCTCCCTGGGAGACTTTGAGCCAGTCACTGTTGCTCAGCCGAATCTACTTCACAAGGTTATTGTGATGATAAAATTGAGAACCTATGTAAGCCATCTTGAGCTCCATCAAGGAAAGGTGGGGTGACAGCCATCATTAGTACTAGCTGTCAAGCTTTGGAGAATCGGCTTCCTCCTCTGTGGCAGTAAACAAAAGATCAAACGAAAGGAACTTCTTACCAGTTAGAATCTTTAATAATCACAGTGCGAGAACAAAGAACACATCTCCTACAAATGGCGGTGCTCCCAATTAAGGTTTACTCCTCCCCTCTATCCCTATTAATCTATGTCACTCCTACATCTTGTAATCTGAGTTTGTATCCTCTGTGCTTTCTGTTCTAACACTTTCTGAGCTCTCCGTGTCCTTGGAGAAGGGAGATGGATGCTGCCCAGAGACTGAATCTGTTAGCTCTCTCTCTTCTAGTGTTATGCTAGCTATTCCCCATCCAGTATTTCCCAGCTTCTGCCTTCCGAACTATGCCCTTCTGCAAACCACTGGGAAGATTCAGGACCAGGAGCAGGGGGAGGGGGTGGTTCCCACCATTCCTCCTCAGTGCAGCCCTCCTCAGCCCAGTCCCTGACATCAGCCAATTCTAAGGGCAACAGCAAAATCTCCTGAGGAAGGGTTAGGTTTTTGGGTGGGCTAGAATTTGCAGAGGGATCAAATGCATTTATGGAATCTATTTCCTGGCATGTCAAACAACCTCAAGGCAACTTACAAGCATAATAAGATAATAAATCAAAGCAGAAATATGGTGTCAAATAACTGCATAGCAGTCAAGTGCATATATGTATTCATTCGTTTGCTTGTTTCATGGCAACATATCTATGGGCAGCTTCAGAATAAAAGCTACGATAACTTTTTAAAAAACCACAGAATTGCAATAAAAGAAGAAGAATAAACACTGTAAAATGCAACAACAGTAAATGTGGTCAAGAATGAAGATAGTTTTAGTCTAGCAACATCATGAGGGCCACAAAGTTATCCATCCTGAGATTGGTCTGCCCTCAGAAACTTATTAAATTCAGTGGATTCCTGAATGTTCTAGGACAGTGGTTCCCAATTGGTGGGCTGTGTCATCAAGCACATAACAAAAACTACCATAGGGCTATCCACATTTTCAAAAGTAGCGGGTCCAGAGCATTGTCTTACCAGGTTTACTGTGTAAACTATGGCAGCAATGGCCACCAACTTGGACAACTTTAAAAGAGAATTAAACAAATGCATGGAGGAAAAAAGCTGTAAGTTGCTTCTAACCTTGATGGCTGTTCTACCACCATGATTTGGAGGCATTGTGCTTCTGAATACTAATTGCTGGAAACTTCAGGAGGGGAGGGGGTGTTGTACTCATGTCCTACTTGGGTGCTTTCCATAGGCATATGGTTGGTCATGGTGTGGGGACAGGGTGCTGGACTAGATGGGACTGGCCTGAGCCAACAGGGCTCTCCTGAAATCCCCCAGTTTCACAAATATCTCAATTGCTTCCATACAAAAATATCAATATGTTACAGGAAATATGTATATTAGAGAAATTTGCACTAAAGTGTTGATGAATGTTCATGAGGACTTTTCCTCTCTCTTTTTTAGTGCAAACTGATGTGGAAATGTGGGTGGCTAAATTGAAGAAACTGAGACGAGCTGAAATGGACAGATTCACCCATCCCTCCCCTTGATCCCTCTTGGGTGAAGGGAAGTGTACCTGTGTCCAAGAGACAGAGAGCAGCCTTTGTAGCAAAAGGGAGGCAAGATTTCATCTCAGAGCTGCCTGTTGAGCTCCAACTGTGCTCCTATTGGGCAGCAGGTGTGAGCTCTCACTATTGTCCCTAATGGTTATTAGCCAATGATAAGAAGGGCAAATGTAAGGTCCCATCTTCTGCTGGCAGGTCAGCAGTGCCAGGATTTAAAGCTCCTCAGAGAGCAGGAAATTATACAGTTGGCACTTACATCTCGGAATGTGACCTGCTCCTTTTTCGATGATCTTTTAAGACTTTGCAGCTATCAGGCGGAAGAAAGCGAGGGTGTTGGGAGGGGGGGGGGAGAAGAGGCTTATCTGAATTTCAATGTTATATATTATCTCCTTGAAATGAAAGGCAATCAGAATCATTCGGTGATGATCTGAATAATCAGCATGAGCCTGTCAGTGGTTTGCAGGAGGCATGGCAGCGCATGTGGCAACGCAACCCTCTGGAGAAAAGGGCACATAGCTTTGAATACTTACAGCTCTTTGCTTTAAAGCCCAACTGCAGTTCAAAGCCAAGGATTGTGGTGTGAAATGGGAAGAGCTTCACAAAGTTTGTTGTTGTTGTTACTTTTATTGTGCTTTTCCAAGTTAACAAATGCATAAAACTATAATCCAGGCTTCCTCAAACTTTAGCAAACTACAGTGGTACCTCGGGTTAAGTACTTAATTTGTTCCGGAGGTCCGTTCTTAACCTGAAACTGTTCTTAACCTGAAGCACCACTTTAGCTAATGGGGCCTCCTGCTGCTGCTGTGCCACCAGAGCACGATTTCTGTTCTCATCCTGAAGCAAAGTTCTTAACCCAAGGTAATATTTCTGGGTTAGCGGAGTCTGTAACCTGAAGGGTATGTAACCTCAAGCGTATGCAACCCGAGGTACCACTGTACACATGCCCAGTAGTTTGTACATAATTTAGAAACAGAGAGCCCTGAGGTCCGTGGTTGTGCTTGGAAATGAGGCTAGATTAATTCAAAACTCCAAAATCCAGAGAGAACTTTGCCATGCTAGAATTGGGAGGCATTAATGCTTATTCCAGTAATCTTTCAAAGACTTTTAAAAAAAATGGGCTTCCCTCCAGAAGAGATTGTGGATTTTAACATGAATAATTTACCCATTTGTCTGATTTTAACTGGGTATTTTGGCCACACTCCTACATACCATTATACACACTTAAATGCCGAATGCTTTGAATTTAAATTCGAGTTACTGTGCACAGAACTATAGTGTGTGTGTGTGCTCTGAAACTTCAAAAGGGGCATTTAAATAACCTATTCACTAAAAGCAACCTAATGGTTTAATGAAAATATGGATGGATTGATGGCTAAGCCCAGCCATGGATGACTTTGAATACTCAGAGTGGTTTTACAATCAATCCCTCTTCCCAAGGAACCCTGTGAATTGTAGCTCTGTGAGGGGAGTAGGGGTCTTCTAATAACTCTCAGCATCCTTAACAAACTACAGAGCCATGACCATTAAAGTGTTATCAAAGCATGGTGTGCATGTGACCTTATAGGATTGTTGTAACCGTCCTGGCAATCTCTTACGCATTTATTCAAAGTATCTATACCTTATGCTTCAGCCAGAAAGGCTCCTAGATCAGTTTACCTATCAATGAAACAGCACCATCCCTTCTCTTCAGATGCTACAATGTAAGTAGACATGACATGGAGGGGAAGAGAGGAAATAAGCAAACCCAAGGCAACTGCTGTGAGGTACAACCCATCGGGGTAGACTTTGGTCTATCAAGTTTTAGCAGCACCCTGTGCGAGACCAAAATTCAGCACCCCACCTCTCACCTTCCATTCTGCTCAATTCACTATTTCATAGTTGTGCCACCCTGTGATGCCCCCTAGGCTTGGCACCTAGTGTGGCAGAACTGGTCAAGCGGTCCTAAATCCACTCCAGAACCCATCTTCTCAAGAAAGCAGAGACTCTG